TTTTTTACTTTTTTCTTTTTTTCGTTTTTACTCGTGAGAAATATCTAATATTCAATATATCGATTATTTATTCAATAGAGGTAATTCAACAGAGGTAATTTTTAAGTTTATGCTATACATCTACAATGCGATTTATTTACTGAATATCAATCTATAGGTTTAGCCATATGTATGACATCAATTCCCAACAGCTCGCTGAAGTCAAGCAATGTACTGCGAGGTCAGCAATAGAATGGGTGACCGGTCATGTAAATGCAGATCGTAAATTATAATGATCAACACCAAAAATGAGGGTTAACCTGGGAGAAGTTTCTTTTTAATTGTAAATTAACAATGCGAATTTATCAAATCTGTTTCAGGATTTTTTTGAGAGTTTTTTGAGTGTATTTTTACATCCAAAATTGGATGTTTTTTTCGTAAGAGAGGCAGTAATTTGCAACTATATTTTTGCAACAGTGGTTTGAAATAATCATTGACATTGCTCTGTAATCTCCCCATGATATTTTATAATATATCATGCGATATCTTGTAATATTTCCTGTGATAATTTGTAATATTGCTGTGTAATTGCTAGTATTTCTATGTAGTCGGTGGTAATTTTTTTTGTAAGGGTAGCTTTTTAACAATAACGATTGACTAATATAATGTATTAATATAAAAAATATAACATCTATGTGATAAATCTATGTAATAATCGCATTGCTTCTTCTTTTCTTATTTTTTCTTATTTATCAAAAGAGTAGAAAGAAACAATTTTTTGCGACTTTTTTGTAAAAAAATTAAATAAGCCTAATCCCGATAGTCAAATCTGAAAAGGCAAATTATGTGCAAAGTTTGTTATAAATTTTTGATGCTGGAAAGGCAACGGATTGCTAACAGAATCTATAATATCTGACAATTGCGATAAAAATATATTGGAATCAAATATAATAAATAAATGATTTTATCAAAAACATAATGGAAATTTTAAAATTAAGAAGTTTAATTTTTTTTGTTGATTAATAAATTATTATTTATTAAATTAATTTTATTTTCTTATCTAATTCAATTATAAGTTATTAATTTTTTTAAATTTCTTCGATATCATAAGTTGTATCAATGTAGATTACATATTTTGATAATATAATGATACATATATACGTACTTTGATTATATCGGTCAATTGAGATATCACTCTTTTAAAATTCAAGGTTGACTGATAATGAAAGATTGCATCAAATTCAATGGACTTGGCACTTCACTTTATATAATTAAATTTCGAAAAAAAACAACTTTTAATTCTGATAACAATAATTCATTTCATTTTTATTTCATTTTTATAATTTAAGCTACTAAAAAGTGTATTAGTATGTTAAAAAAAAATCTTGTTACATAATATTAAAATAAAAAATCCAATGTAATATTTATATATTTCAATCCAAAATTATTTACAAAATTGTTACGAATTTATTTTCATTTGCGGCATAATTAATTATATTGATATATCACAAGATAATTCAAAATATTTTAAAAATTGATAAAATTTCTTCTTTTTGATAATTGACAAAAGTTCTTTTTTCTTTTGACGAATTGCTGTAACTTTAGAAGAAATTTCACGCAATTTTTTTCTCTCTTCCTATTCTCGCTATTAGAATATGAAATAAATATTTTGAAATAAAAATCCACATGCAGGCATTTAATTAGAAAACTGTAATCTTTTCACAACTAATAGCAACATCCATAATAATAATTAAATAATGGTCGCGATTACTAAATGTACCAATTTTAATGTTCCTTGCAGCTGTTGTCTCTGTATTTTAACAAACATCTCGATGAATCAATTAAATGCTTCGTTTCATACTCTATGTACAGTATGACATGAAGCATTTAATTGATTCATTTCCGCACCGCGAAAAGATTAATGATAAAATGTTTTTTCACAATCGCATTATCTAATCAAAAGTCATAATCAAGATTTACCTTGATATCCTGATCTATTTTATTCTCACACATATAAATTATTTTTTTATCTATAATAAATATATATAAGTCATGTTCTTGATAAAATCCATTTTAATGATAAGAATATATTAAATCTTTGATATGGAATACTATGGAATTTTCTTGCATTGTAATTTATCAATACTGATTATACAAGATTTTTTCGTTATTTGTGATTTAAATTTAATAAACAGTAGTAATCCTTTAGCTTAAGAGGACCTTGGACTGACGAGCAAACTCTGATGAAAATGTTTACACATATGTGCATTAAATATACATAGATACATTTATGTATACATACATATACCCATTCATATATTTCTGCACACACATGATACACATATAAACAAATTTTTGTGATACTTCCCTGATCATAATAAGTATCTAAGCCTAATTTCTAAGAATTCAACGTTGCTTCTTCATGTAATCTTCTAGTTTAGCAATATCAGTTTTGTAGATACAGACTGTAAAATTTTTAAAGCAAATATTGACGACTTGACAGCTTTGGACGCTATTTTAAAGTACCAAATGGTAAAAAAGATTTAGATTTTAAAATTTTTTCTCATTCTTGATATGAAATTCATATGCTAAACACGTATTTAATTGTGGAAAAATTGTGGAAAAGGATTTTCAAATCTATAAAATTAATAAAAAATGAGAGCAATACAAAATTACTGCATTTCGTCGGTAATACAGACAAATCCAGCATTCTTTTAGTAATTCTTATATTTTTTTCTTACTTAGGGGAAAAGTATAATTCTCTAAGATTATAGTTACAGATTTCTGAATGCAAGCTGAAGAGATTTTAAAAATTAAGGACATTTGACAGATTGTACAGAAAATTATAATAAATTTTGTAATAAATAAATATAAATAAAATATTTTGTAAGTGAAAATATAAGCGTGTTTTATCCGTAGCACATCATTTATTTTTTGTTCTTTTTTTGTTTTTATTATTTTAACAGCTCTGTTATAGCGAAAGGATTAAATATCCTTTCATGGTTTTATTAGAATATTTTTATTATTAGAAAGTAGTTCCCAAATAAGAAGGGAGGGTGTGCGTCACGGCGGGGCCCGACCACGAACCAGTCGTGAAAACTCGTAATTATTTTGCGAAAAAATACCACCTCAGCCAGGAATCGAACCTGGATCTCCTGCTTACCGGGCAGGCATCTTATCCTTTCGACTACCGAGGCATGTGATGATATTTATCGCAAATAACGTGTTTAGAATAACACGTCAACAATACAATGATACATATACATATATATTACAATATACATATATACATGTATTCTTTCGAATCCCCACGACCGGTACTCCAGAGCGATGTTGGTCTCTCACTCATTAATTAATTTTTCGCAAAATTTAAGGAATAATCTAATAATAAAGTGATAAAAGAAAAAAAATGCAAATATCATACACATATACACATATATTTCTACATATGTAATTTATAACATTAATAAAATAAATATTAATATGTTAATTAGATATATTAATAGTTAATATTTTAATTATTTACTTGTATTTTGTATGTGTATTACATTTTATATAATTAATTAATATTATAATATATTATATTATAATATTAATTAATTATATAAACGTATTGTTATAATGTGTAGTTACATATTACATTAATAATATATTATATTATAACAACGTATTGTTATAATGTGTAGTTACATATTACATTAATTATTAATACATCAATAAATATTTTATATTATGTACAGTTACACATTTATTAAATTATTTTCTATTTTCTATTAAATTTATACGTAAATTTACATATCGTAAAAATTTAAAAAAAGAGTTGCACTTGGGGTTCCAAAAAAATCAAAGACGGCTCTGTTTTAGTTAATAGATATGATAATCTGTCCTTGTATCTTAGGGTATAAAAAAGCCGACACACCTTAATTCAGTCAGTCATGTATTCATCTGATTAATCAGTGAGGTGTTATAACAGGATATTTTTACATATACGAAATATTTTTTTCTCTTTGAGTACAGATAGAATAGGTAACAGGCGATGAAGGGTAAGTATTAACTACTTTCTAATAATAAAAATATTCTAATAAAATCATGAAAGGATATTTAATCCTTTCGCTACAACAGAGCTGTTAAAATAATAAAAAACAAAAAAAAGAACAAAAAAATAAATGATGTGCTACGGATAAAACACGCTTATATTTTCACTATTTAAAATCATTAATCATCGTTAAAATGTAGAAAACGATTGAAAATATAGAAAATAGTCTTAGAAAATAAAAAATAGTAATATATAAACAGCGTTTCGTGGCGAGTAACCATATAGTCGCCCATAGCAGCAAAAGGGATAAATAATAAAGAGGGTTAAATATAATAATTTCGAATTTGTAAATAATTAAATAATTAAATAATTAAATAATTAAAATTAACAAATTTTTATCAATTGCAATAATAATTGACTAAATGCCAATTTTGATCGGAATATTTTTTGTTTGATATATATAGGAATATACCTAATCGCCATCGTCCTCTTGACATCTTGGACAGTGAGCGCCGCGAGTAAATTATCGATTTTCTTTGAGGCTGACAATGAATGCCCGGTGATTGATACTTGTCCACCAAAATTAATACATCATGAATCGAATTGCTCTCGATTCTATATATGCAACGGAGGTGTAAAGCAAATACAGGATTGCGCGCCTGGTCTATACTTCAGTCTAAGATGGCGCGGTTGCGTCAAATTGGAGATTTCAGATTGCCAAACTCCTCTTCCTCCTCCTCCTCCTTCAACTTCAACTACTCCATCTCCTTCGAGAGAATGTGAAAAGGATGGGCAATTGCTGCCACACGAATGCAACTGTACCGTTTATTACCAGTGCGTAAGTGGTCTCAAAGCCCGACGTGAGTGTCCACCTGGCGAAGGTTTTAATAAATACAGGCGGATTTGCGAAGTAGGTGGTTGCGAGGCTACGACAACGCAAGAGCCGACAACATTGCCAACGACAACGTCAACGAACTCGCGAATTTGCGAGGAGGGTACACTTTCACCGCACGAGTGCCAATGCGATAAATACTACGAGTGCATAAATGGACAGAAGGCTTTGCGTGAATGCGGAAAGGGACGACACTTCGATAAGGAAAAGTTAACTTGCGTTGACGGCGAACATTGCGGGATATGCAAAGACAAGGATCGTAAGAAACACGAGTGTAACTGTAACCAATTTTATGAATGCCAGGGTGACGTCTGGTATGTTAGAACATGTGAGAAGAATGAACAGTATGACGAATCTGAAAAAAAATGTATAAATCTTGGCGCTTGCGAACGCGAGGGTAGCATCACGAGTCACCAGTGCGACCCCAGATTATGGTACGAATGCAAAGGTAAAATAAAGAAACTACACGAATGCGAGTGGGGACAACACTTTAATGGGACGCAATGCATTCCCTTGTGTAAATTAGAGTCCATGGAAAACTATGAACTGTAAAAATTGAGACAACTGGGCAAAAATGACTATTGATTTTGGATATGTAAAGAAATTGAGCAAATTACTTGTTAAAATTATGTTATTGTATTTGTAGGAGTAGATAATTTGGTTAAGATATTTTAATAAATTTAATAATCTCAAAAATCTTGTTAAAACTTTCTTTACTAGTTCGAACCTCTACTAGTGCATGCCATATTATAACTAATGAATATTATGACTAATTGTTTTTAATTCAGATAAAAGATTTAAAAGAACGAAGAAGAGTCTTTTTCTTTCTATTTTCCTGTCTATTTCCCTCTTTTTCATCTCTTCTTTCTACCATTTTTTTTCTCTTTCTCTCTATCTATATCTCTCTATATATTTATTTGTATATTCATACAGCTACTTATCTCTATTTATCTCTTATTCCATAATTTGTAACAAAGACGATGCTAATCAGTTTTTGCTTAATAATCTCGATATCGCAAATTATTTTATCGGAGCATTATGTTATCACAGAAGATCACATATATGTTAAGAAATGAGTAAAAAAATATCAATAAAAATTTCCTTCCTCTCAATTTCGTTCATGATCATTATTGAATCCTGTCATTTATCTTTATTTTCTAGAGAAGAGAGATACCTTTTCTGTAATTTTTTGATTTATTTAATTTTTGATTATTTAATTATTACTTCATACACACACATAC